CAGATTTAAAAAGACTAAAGAGATATGGCAACTAAATGTAATTGACAAGGAAATTAAACGGTAGCTATAAAGGCCATTAATGGGGTAATTACCATACTCTGAATAAAGAATGTTGATTTAAAAAAAAACATATTAAATTTCCTGACTTTTTTGAAATTGAGCTGAGGTTGCTAAGAGAATATCTTTGCTCTTAAAAAGTAAATGATAATGTATTTAAGAGTAAAAGAGCATAATATCTGCAAATTATTCTCCAATGATTCAGAAAATTATATCTAATAATAATTTATATTCAGATATTATATATGATATTTCATATACACATATTACATATATACACACAGAAAGAGTGATAGAATGAAAAATGATAAATAAGGTATGATAGAATAGTCCGTTGCGGTGACTTATGCCAGGAATCCCAACACTTTGAGTGGCCAAGGTGGGAGGATCACTTGAGGTCAGGAGTTCGAGACCAGACGAAGGCAACATAGCAAGACTTCATTTCTGTAAAAAAAAATAAATTAGCCAGGCATGGTGGCACATGTCTGTAGTCCTTGCTGCTCGAGACTGAGTTGAGTTCAGGTTGCACTGAGCTGGGATTGTGCCACTGCACTCCAGCCTAGGCAACAGGGCCAAATCCTGTCTCAACAACAACAACATGTGGCATAATGTGAACATTATGGTGAATCTGGGCGAAGGATACATAAGAATATTCTGACCATCTTGGAAATCTTTGGCAAGTTTGCAATTATATAAAAATAAAATATATTTTTAAAGGATTTCTTCAGTGAATGAAGATCAAAAGGATAATCTTAGAAGATGTTTATGAAGAAATTACCAATGGAGGTGCTGGTAGAACATTCAGAGGAGAAGTAGGGAAGGTATATCAAGTAGGAAACTATCCCAACCTGTCTAAAATATAAATAGGAAGTGAGGAAGCAAGTGGAGGACAATAAGAGTGACTTTGGATTTGGCCCATCTATTTGGAGAGGCAGCCAAATGCAAGAATAAAAGTCAGAATGTAGACACTCAGTGAGGCAGTCGAAAGCTAGACAGATGATTAGCATCCTCCCAGGTAAAACTCCTTCAGTTACTAGAAGGGCTACAATTTAGCACCTACCTGACTTAAATGCTTATTTTCTTCCATATGTAAAATGGTGCTATAAAATATTTTACCTTGTCAAACTTAATGTTAATTTGTCCAAGTTGTAAATGAAATAGCATAGGTTCTGCATTGTTACATTTAAACTGAACTCATGTTTAAGATTATTGATTTTGATAGAAATATATAAAAATACAAGTTTGGTTGTTAAGGTCTTGCACATATAAATGCTTAATATTCAACTCAACATTTGGAGTTTTCTACTTGAATATTGTTTAGGTGGAATTCCATTTTAATCAATACAATAACAAATTGTACTTTGGTCTAAGAGCCTAAAATGACCTACTTACAGTATGTATGGTTTCACTGTTTAACTCCCTTTTTTATAGGACTGCTATTTATAACCATTTCCTTCAACTCTGGGGGGACTTAGTAAGATTAAGGACTTCTGATTCACTTTGTATTTGAAGATTTTTTTTTCCCCATCTTTGCTCAGCTAGTGGAATCCATGATGAATTCTCATCTCCAAGGGGTAAGCTGTTTTTAGTAAAGCCCAGTAGCTGGCTTATGACTCCCTAGAAATAGCATCAATTCCTTTCTTCTCCTATGTTTTGTTTCTTCTAGAATGATAGAATCCATGTAAGATACAATCAATTATCATGCTTAGGTACTCTTAAGCATGTAATAGTTTGAGTTTATATTTGATCATTTAAGTTACTCATGTAATAAATATCTGGGCTCATATTAAATAAATATATAAGCACAATTAGCATTCTATTTGTTTAATATAACTAAAGCTAGAAGGGGAAATTGAATGATAGAAGGAACCAGAGGTCATATGAGAATGAAGATAAAAGTGGGAACAGCATGTCTGAGAGTAGCATCTGATAAGGGCAGAAGATTGGGGACAGAGAACAGAATTTCATAGATGGATTATTTTGGAGGTGAGTAGTCTGAGTAATGATTAGATCTAAAGTGTTGACTCATCTGTGAGTGGCTTGATGGAATAGAGATGAAAGTCATTGTATTTGAAAAGTTCTAGAATTATAAAACTAAGTTGTCAAGTCAAAGAAATTATAGTAGTAAATAAATAGAATACATGTAAAACAAAACCAAATGAAAAAAAAATTGCTCTCACTGTATGCTTGTGTTCTGTTAATTGGCAAAAAGGTCTTTCAGTCACTGTTTTTATAATATCTTAATGAAAAAATGCTAAAATGTTTGCCGTATTTTAAATCTTTCCCTTTATTTTTGGAAAGGTAATCAAAGGAGAAAAATCCCACTCTACCATATGAGAAACCACTAAGTAAAGAGCATATTAGTGTCTGATGAATTCCATAGGAAGATACATTATTTTACAGTTTCTCTTTTGAAATGAATGCTTGTATTTGTTGACCAAAGAGTGGGATAAGGAATCGCAATTTTGTTTTTAAATACTTTAGAAATGCAGAGTTGTGTTTCAGTTGTGCATCTCCTTAGATTTTTAAGGAGACTGCTTCAAAGGATGTCAAGGATGTCATTAATAATTTTCTCAGGTGCTTACAAAGCATGTGTCTGTCAGCAGAATTAGAGAATCACCCAACTAGAGAACAAGTTTCACAATACCCTGAGACCTATTTTGTTCATTAGAGAGGAAAACGACTTGTTTTGAGTCTAAATTGACATGCTTGCTAATTTCAGCAGTAAAAGCTGTTCATTGTGGTCAGGTTTAATTTAGAGCCTGGTACGATTGAGATTAAAGTTGAATAAGTTACTTTTGCAACACACTTCTTAAATGAACTCTGAAATCTTAAAAGAAGGGAGAAAATATGGCAAACATTAAGTAATGTCTCTGAAAGTGAGAAGCAAAAAAAAAAAAGGCTAGTTGTTTAAGGGTGAATTAATAGTAAATCAAAGAAAATAGTCTAATAAAGATAATCTTTGTTATATAAAATTTCCAAATATCAAAAACAGTTTTTAAAAAGTTGTGCACCACGCCTAATGCATTTTTCACTGCTATAATCATGTCACCTAGAATAGTGCCTAGAACTTGAGAAATATTTATTAAAACAAATGAGTAAATGAATGAGTGATTTTATTTTGCCAGCTATATGTATTTAAAGTTCTTTGCTAAATTTGAGGTGAAAATTTGATTTCATCTGAGGTTTCTGGGTAAATCTGTTTTAAAAATTCTGCTGAATATATTCAAACATTTTAGAGTGGCAATTCCAAAGCAACCTTCCAGTTTGTGTCACAGATTACCAGAGTTTAACACTCTAACTCCGGAAAATATCTTATTTCATAAAATCTGGCTGCTACTATATGGTTTCTATTTTAAAATTTGTTTAGTACTCTTTGACTGACTTATAGCACTTATTTCAATAGCTGTCTTTGGCAATTTGTTCCATATTTCAAACATTCTTTTGTGTAAAGAGACCATAAAAGTTAGAAACCTGAAAATTGGATTTTTCTTCTGAGCAATCACAGCTTACAAATGTAAAAAATTTGTTAAAAGTTTGCCCCTCCAATTTTTCAATACAGAGAGGAGGAGATGCCCAAAATAGAGGTACAATGTTTAGATACATTGTTCTCATTATTTTAATATTGCCAAAAGCAATTGAGTTTAAATCATGAGGCCCATCCTCTTCTTCACAAAAGAAACACTGAAGAATGATTTAAAAATTGGCCTTTTCAAAACAAACATAAAACAAACAAAAAAAAAAACCCTAAAAATCAGCAGGACAAAGCAGATCAAATAACATAGACAACTAAGTTTCATAAATATTACTATCTACCACATTTTATCTCTTCACTTTCATTGGTCTCATAGTAGTAGAAAGCGCAACATATTTAAAATCAGACAGATCTTTGGCTTAGTTATTAGTGTAGCTACTATGAAAATAAAAATGAGAGTAAAACACCTGTCACATAGTGGCTATAAACTAATAGTAAATATTGCTTTTGCTTTCCCCAATTAAAATAAAATTTACTCAGTTTGAGAACTGGAAAAAGTCAGATACCTTATTTTTCATAAATTTCTCTGTAAATATCTCTGGAATTTGGACCTTACATGCAGAGAAACTTAGATGACAGAGACAATAGATAGATACTTAAGGAAGAGAGGAATTTCTTAGTGATTAACATAGTTGCCTATACATAAAAAATATGGTTGGCTTTATTCTATGTGGTATTTTTATTTAAAGCAGTACTAAATCAAAGTTATTTGTAATACAGAATAATATAAATAACATCTAGTCTGATGCTTTCCAAACTTGTCTAACCATAAAATTTAAAGAAAGAATTTGCATAAAATGCTAGATTCCCAGCCCTTTCCACTAGTAATTCATTAGTTCTGGGGAGGGTCAAAGGAGTTTGCTGATTCTTATAGGTGCATAGCTTTGGAGAAAAACTGATTTAGCTCATCTACCTTACCTTCATATTTTACAGGTGAGAAATCTCAGGTACAAAGAAGTTAAATAAGTAGTATCTCTTAAATCAGTCCCGGGCTTTTTCTGTTTCTAAAATAAATATATACATTAATTTGACACCACATAGAATGATATTGCAAGTATAAATAACTATATTTACTTTAGATAGATATATAAAGTATAATTCAGAATTACAATTCTTACTCATGGCTTTCATATATTGGTTGAAGTAAACCCCGGTACTCTAAAATGACTCCATCTAACCTTTTAAATGGCGAAGCAAATCTATAATCAAGATTTTCATTTGAAATGTTTTTCCGTATCTAAGAATGAAACACATTTCTTGTTAAATTGTTTTCTATAAACTCTTACACAGTAGAGATTTATATCAAGTAACATCATTTTTATTTTTAAAAGTGTTTTTGGTTGACTTAAAAATTGTACTTTACACAATGCTGGAGAATCCCAATATTAAGTTGAATTTGTTCTTTCAGGCAACACTACAGGATTTGGAACAGAGGCGCCCCCAGTTGGAAGAACTCATTACTGCTGCCCAAAATTTGAAAAACAAGACCAGCAATCAAGAGGCTAGAACAATCATTACTGACAGAAGTAAGTTTTTTAACAAACATGGGACACTCAAGATGAGATGCGTGAAAGGTTTCAGTAACAAGTTCACATACCCCCATAACATTTATAAAAAGTAATGTTACATAATTTAAAATTATAACTATTATATTAAATGAGATTTTCAGTCTATAGTGTTATCTCTCAATAACTGAATATAATTCCACTGAATAGAAGAAACATAATTTTCAGAGCTTATGTAGTTACAAGACATGGAATTATGGATGTGGTTGGCATAGTGTGGCAGAATATGCCTTCCTTGGTTGTCATCTATCTGGACTGGTATCCATAGAGATGCCAGTCGCTCCCTCATCCTTGGGTATTGGTCCAAGAAGGCAGTTGCTTTCTGGACCGTCTTTCGTTCTCATCTGCAGTGAGGGGTACTTTTAGTTCCAGATATCTCTCTGCTACTTTGATGTCCTCATTGTTTAATATCAGATATCATTGTAGTGTTCTTATGCCATACTTGAGTGTGTGAGAATTTTGGTAAGGCTATCTGACTAAACATTCTTTTATTCTTCACATAGAGTGATTTGGAGTGACTGTGTGTGGTGTCATTGGGTTTGCATGGGATCAAGAAGAGGGATAGAGGGAGGAGTAGAGGAAACTACTTGCCATCCAGTTTCCATCAGAGGCTCTACAGGAATGAACTTCAGGTCACCTCAGATATCAAATTTCCTCAAATCTCCCTGGGTTCTCTCCTTTCCCTCCATCTACCTTCCCTCCAGGTACACACATTGATATTAAATTGTCTGGCTTCTCCTGAAATAGCCCCACATTTTCCTTTCCGCAACCAGAGGAATTTGATGCAGTGAGGAATGAGGAAAATTTTCTTTCAATCATCTTTTTTCCCCCAAATCTTTTTTCCCCCAAATCTTTTGTCATATACCAGACTTAGACGGTTGAAGCCCTAAAACCATGAATCTATATCTCCCTAATTAGCATCCTACTGTGTTAACCCTTACCTAAGGAAGTGGAGGCAGAATGACTGCCAATATGTTGGAGGAAGGAAAAGAGTAACCAGAGTCAAAGGTTAATATTTGAAAAATATTTCCACATAGTAGTCAAATACTTAGTGATGACTGCTATTAAGGGTGTGTGTGTGTGTGTGTGTGTGTGTGTGTGTGTGTGTGTTTGTGTGTGTGTGTGTGTATAAAAGCTTTATAGAATCCTGTGAGCTATATTTCACAATCCTCAATTTATAGATGAGAAAATAGGTTCCTGGAACAGTTAACCAAATTGCTCAAGTTTACAAAACAAAGAAGAGAGCTTAGAATCTGCAAATGTCTCTTTCTGGCTTAAAAGTCTATGTTCCTTCTAGTATGTTTACCACTTCCCATCTTGTTTTGTTGTTTTTGTTAATGACCTTAATCACTAAGACTAACTACTTTTTCAGTCTGCAATTATGCATGTTTGATTCACTTTCTAAAGACATTTCCCTTTCAGTTGCAGTGATTGGTAATTAAAATAAGCTTTTCTTGGTTTTGAAATTTTAACTCTTTGTTGCTGCTTAAACAATGAATTAGGATATTTGTTAATGTTATTAGTTGGGTAATATTAGCCAGTATAATAGGTAATCTTCCAAATCTTGGTGGCTTACTACAGTAGAGGTTTGTTTTTTATGCTAGTTTAGTCCAAGATAAGCAGCCCTCTGTGACATCACTTGGGAACTCAAACTCCTTCCATCTTTTGTATTCTGAGCATGAGAGTCCCATGCATTTAATGGGCAGATAAGAAATGAGTGTTGCTCATGGGAATTTGCCATGAATCAGGCCTGGAAGTGACCTAAATTAAACTTGTTCATAGTCTTTTGTCTGGAACTTGTCACATGGTCCTGCAAGGGAAGCGGGAAAATGTTGCTCAATGTTGAGCCCAGGAAGAAGAGAAACAGATTTGGTAAGAAACTGGTCAATCTCTGCCACAGTTAATTTGAATAAGAAAATATGCCCTTACATTCTGTGGATCTGTATAGGGTATAGGATATCATTTCTTTAACCAGCAAGAAAAGAGCAAAATTGCCTTGTATTGACCAACATAGACAGCTGTTCAAGTGATGTAGTAGAGCATTTCTGCCCCAAACTGGACCCTTGAGGTTTCTCCAACAGGTTGCAAAACACTGGCCCAAAAGAGTGAATGTTAGTGAATGATTTACTCAATATGAGACTGAATTCCAATTACACAGGTGACTGATCAGTTTCTTGCCTGAGAAATATGGAAAGTTGGCAAAGATATTTATGCAAATTCAAGTATACTATATAGAAAGCCATTTGCTATTTTACTAATGAAAAATACCATCTATTCTTTCCCTAGGAGGAAAATAACACTAACGTACTATACAATATCTGTTCAAAGTTGTCAAAATATTTTCTATTATCCCTTACAATCTTTTTTTTTTTAATATTGACTTTCTATGATGAAGATTAAAATTGAGTGATCGGGGACAAGTTTGTATTTCTCTCTAATACCTAGTGATTTGAGTAGCTCTTCTTGTTCAAGCTTTTGCCTTTTAGAAATTAATACCTTTATGAATATTTCTAGCATAATAGAAGGATTCTAACCCAAATTTTAAAAGTTTTATTTATTTTGTTTTTGCTTTTATTATTACTGTTTTAGAAACTGATGTTTATTTTCCAACAACCTTAAAACATGTTTTAAAGCAAGCATCTGTTGAGACATGTCATATTACTTATTAAGAGTCTAAGCTGAAATCTTAGTTCCAAATATGCCTGGAGCCTATAATGCTGGTACCAGGATAATTCTGAGAAGATATATTTATCTAAACAATGTCACTTGCAGCTCTGCTGTGCTTCCGTTTATCTCTCCAGTTGAAATCTATGAAATGGGATGGAAATTCAATACTCATAAAGTTTCAATCATGTTCAAAATAGAATTTTTTTTAGTATAGATCTGGTTTTCAGGGAAAGGACAGAAATAAAATACGTGAACATAAAATCGTATTTTCTTATTTGTTGATTGCAATCTTCCTTTTTTATTGTCCTCCAACTTTTAGAAATACTTAAAAAGAAATCAGCTAAATAAAGAAAACTAGTTAATATGTATAATACTATATTGAAGCATTTTTCCCTCTTTGGTAAATCCCATTTTATAACTTTGAACAGTTGGGAAAATCTATACATAGTTATTGCATTCTCTCAAGAGAAAAATCCAGTGAAAAGCTATTTCTCTCTACCAGTAATATTCATGCTAATCCTCAAATAACTGAGTCTACAAACTACCAACGTGTTTTACTATATACAACTCTTTCCATGATATCTGTTGTTTTTAAACAATTATATTGAGGGAAATCGTGTTGCAATAATTTAAGTAAGAGAATAAATTATATTCTAAATGAATTCAAATGAGAAATTCTCCTTGCTCTTTCTGATGTTCCAATTGCTCGTTTTCTTTAATTCTTTGTGTGCTGAATTTGTCAACCATTCCTGGTCATTTTCTTCTGCAAAAGGACTGGATCAGGAAACCAAAAGCAGAAAAGATTAGAAGAATTGAAATTTGCTTCCTTGGAAGTATCTGAGTTATGACAAACTCTTGTTCATGTCCTCTAATACTGAAAACCATAATAACATATTACCTTGCATAGCAGTGAAAATGATATGAAAAGAAACTACTTTCTTTTATTGCTCTGTTTATTTCGCAACTAATATTGGTGAATGTGGTTTCTACAACATTTGTATTTAAGAGCCTTGCTTCTGGAGTTTCTCCCTCTATAACTCTAGCTCTATTACCATTTTAAGGATATATAGGCAATAGCACATATCGGTTTTAAGGGCAGGCTGCCTGGGATGGCCACTTGTTAGCTTTGTGATCGTGAACTAATTACTAATCTCTCCATAAAATAGGCTTTCTTGTATTTGGCTAATGGGTTGGAAGAGTTAGATGTTATAATACTTGTAGACCACTTAGATCTGAGCCATAGTAAAAGTTCAATGAATGTTAACTCTTGTTGTTTTAATTGTTGTTTGAGTGCCTGGAATGCTTAGTGCGAAAGCATTTAGTGAGCTTTTGGTAGCTATTTGATTACTTCAACCCCTAGAAAACAGATATGTATGAGACTAAAAGATCACTGTGAAAAAGATGGAATAAGGTATATAAATAAACGTGAACAGATATTTGAAAAAACCTTTATGTGGGCAATACTGAAAAGCAAAATAATTCATTTATTTCATTTTCAGTATCCACCATAAATTTAGGAGGTAGATATTACTATTCCTATTTTAGAGACAGAAAACTGAGGCTCAGAGAACTTAAGTAGCTTGCCTAGGGTTTTAGGAAAATGGCAAATGAGGGACTCACATTCAAATCCACATCTATATGATTTTAAAGTCTGAGACATAAAATAGAAAAGGCAGATTAGTCAAAAATTGGAAAAAGTATTTATTGGAAAAAGTATTTAGGAACTTAAAATAGTAGGACTAACCTCAGGTTATTATAATCTGGATATAATTTTTGCTCCTATTTATTCTGTTGTCTTCTGTGTATTTGGGTGTCTAATTAAAAGATTGTCTCTTACATGTATTGGAGAAGTATGAACTAGTGAACCCTAGTGAACTTGGGTCTTGTTACCTTGGCCAAGTAGTTTCACTTCCCTAAGCCATGGTTCTCTCATCTGTCATGTGGGGCCAAGAATAGTACTTAAGCTGGTAGGGTGATTATTAAAGAAAAATTTCATGACGTTTCTAAAGTAAAGACGTGGAATATATTAGATGTGTACTAAATGGAACATATTGTCATAATGAGATGAATTTGGTACAAAGGAACTGGAGATGGCAGAAAAGGAAGAGTTATATTATAAACCTTACACCAGCTAACCCAAGTGAAGAACCTCTGAAACAGAATGCCAAGTATTACGAGAGAGAATTTCTTTAGGAACTATTTTTTTTTAGTTTAAGGATTTTTCAAACCAGTTCAGAATTCTTAGAAAAATTGAGTGATGTCTTATAAATTAAAAAAAAAGAGGAAAAAAAAAA